GTCTGGATGCTCTTCTGCAATGGCCCGAAGCTCGGCTGAGCTTTGTGTGTGTGGATGATATTTTTTGGCTTTTTTGTGTGCAAAACCAGAAAATATGTGATTTTCTGATTTTATTTTTATGGGTTTTTTCTTTCTTTTGCAAGAGAAAGTCTTGGAAATTTGCTGGGGCTAACTAGATATATTGTTTAATTCCTTTTTACAAAAGGTATGTTAGTGGGTGTTTCTTGGTGATATATAGCTAAATTTTTTATCTTTCTTTTCTCATCTTTTCTTTTTGTGATTTGTAATAATTGAGAGAGCCTCTACTGGCTGGTCATATTTGGCATTATAATATTTGGAAAAATCTCGACGGAATGATTCTGTAACGGGATCGTAGCATTTCCCCATAATAATAACTCAAAAGATTTTTCTGCATACAAATGTATCATTACCTGTTCCTTTCCTTTATTTGTTATTTTGCATTTTGAATTATCATATGATGTGTTTAATGTATTGAAGGGTATGATCTTATCCATGTGGGCTCAATCTTTTAATGTCAAGATTCTTTCATGAGTTGTTCATTCTGCTTCACATGTGTCATGTTCTTATTGGTCGAATTTCTACTATCGTTGGATAGCGTCCGAAGGGGTAGGATCGTATTTTCCGTTCGTATATCATCTGCTAAAGAAAGTTCCTTTTTTTCCCCCCCAAAGTTTTTTGTGCTATGATGATCATAACTAATGAAAAAAAGTAAAACAGAGCACTATGCAAAAGAGAATATGGCTTCCATTAATTTTATACCTTTTTTTTTTTTCTTCTTGAGGGCTTAGTGAGTAAAATAGTGAAGCAGCCAAAGAATCTGAACAAATCAAAGGAGTAAAACAATTAGGGAATATCTCTAACTACCTATTAACTATAATATCTTGCTTTGGTACTTGCTTTTCGTATAAAATACTAAGCCGAATTCGAAGAATGGGAGAATGTATGGCCCCTCTTGGTGTTTTTGTGAAAAGCTATAAACTCGTTTCGATAGAATATGAGACTTTTTTCGAACAAAAGCTAACAGTTAGTTCACCATTGTTGTTGTACTTTGAGAAAGGTTGATATAGTTTAATGCTTTATAAGGCCAAAGATCCCACAACTAAAGCAATCCTTCCTTTTTTTTTCTCTTTAGGGAGAAGCATGTATTCGTTTTTACTTTTGGTAACGAGGTTCGGTTGGACAGTAAGAATCACGATTATCACATTTTATTGTTTCTTTAACTAGCCATTATTCGCATGTCCAAGCGTCGAGTGCATCGTGAACTTCAGCATTTATAGATGTGTTTTGCGACCTAAAATATGGGTTTTTTTTTCGCAAATTTGCCTAAACCATGCGAGAATTTCAACTTTGCAACACATATTCTAGAGGAAGCTTCATCGTTTTCCATGTGTAGATTATGGTATTTCTTCTGTTCAAAGATGGCAAAGATTTACTTGGGAGCAAGAGAGAGAGAGAGAGAGAGATGTTAGTTGATGCAAAATAATGTAACCAATTTTTAGTTTTCAACTTCATCATTTACTTTTCAACTATTCACAACTTCAACAACAATAGAAACTATTTTCCTAAAATCGTTATCGACTTGTTGTTACCATAATATAATCAACAACCTGAACAAGGCAATTTATCGACTCGTTATTAGTAAAGATGGCGAAAATAAGGATGAAAATAAGGATAAAACTGTGACTTGCCACACATCCTTTTATTATATCCCGAGACCTCCTTTGACATGAGGACGAGGTAATCTGCAGCCTGAGGCCTAGATGACAACGTGAATTGACGTTTAGCGTTAGCTATCTCGTCTAAACCTCAGGATGCAGATTACCCGGTCTTCACGGCCCGATTTACGACAACTTTTGACAAACAAATTTACATAAAGAGATTAGTAAGAAACTGTACACATCTTCTCTTGTTTCTCATGCATGATATTTATATGCATGGCAGATGGAATATCTAACAACCCCACATTTAATATTTTAATCAGCCACCTTAAGGTGCTGTTTTACCCTAATCATAATCAAATTCTGTTATTAAAAGATAGTTATATATACCCGAGAGCGCTTGGATGAGATGGCTTGGGTCTCTTCCAGCTTAACCAGTGGTCTCGTGTTCGAGTCCTGGGAATGCAGCAGTGTTAAAACTCTTGAGGGAGAGCTTTGCCGCCCTTGTGGTCCTACCCGGCTCGATTCCGGATTAGTCGGTTCCCTTGTGAATCCGGAAACCGGAAGGTCTCTGTACCAAAAAAAAAAGATAGTTATATATAATAGGAGTATATTATAATCAGCCACGATAGGGTTCTGTTTTGCCATATAATCATCAAATTCTGTTCTTTGTCTGACCAATGATGTGAGAGAACCTCGACTTTTCAACAGACAACTAGTTGACTACTTTACACACAGAACCAGAAAACCAGGCCAGCTACATAATATAGCAAAGCTCATACACTAATGTGAGAATAAATAAATATAAATTACAAGAAACGTAGGACTGCAAACGAACCGAGTCAAGCATTGAGCAAGTCTGATATATTCTTTTTTTTACCTATTCGAGCTCAAGGAGCTCGATTTATGACGCTCAAGATCAACTCGACTGAAGAATACAATCGCTCAAGCTCGACTCGAGATCGATTGAAATTAAAATGTTCTAAAGATTGCTTTAGCTCGGTTCGAGTTCAACTGAAAATTCAAGTGCCTTCCAAAACCTATGCTCGAGATTGACTCGATAATATGCTCGGCTCGAGTTCGGTCAAACTTAAGCTTGACCCGAGCTTTGACTCCTATGGCTCGCGAGCCACTCAAATCATTTGCAGCCCTAAATTCAGACAACCTTATGAAATTTAGAGAAGACATTGTTCAGTACAGTTCTGAATGCAACGTCGTGGTAGAATTAACAAAACTGCAAAAAACTGTAGGATTCTCTTAATGAATAACATCGGTACAAATCCAGAAAATAACTCAATAATTTGCTCATCTCATCACCAATATGATGTCCACAACCCCTAGAATGAATTAAGATTTCACTAGAAGCAATAATCTAAAGCACGACACAACGCGTCTATACATAAAAATATCCGTACGCCCGCAAAAAAATTGCCAAGACTATTTTTTTATATAAAAAGTGCCATGGACGAAGAAGAGTATATCTCTGCCTACTACTGGAATATCCAAATACACTAAAATGACAAAAATTTGCTGATCTTTCTGCTTCATGAACTTGTTGTGTTAAGGTTTATCAAACCCAAGTCGAGGTTGTGTGCAAAAGACTAATTGAAAGGTCCGCGTGAAAGTAGCTTCTTCAAAGTTTCGTAAGTCATGAAAACGATCCCTACACTCGGTACAACCTTGTAGTACTCGGGCATGATCCCTCGGTACAACCCACGAAAGCCTTCCGTTTGGATAATGTGTCTGAACGCGCCAAATAATCCAGTGTTGTACACCCGGGCTCGACCACCTGCACCTTCCAATTGCATTCTTCTCCTCACGAGGTCCAAAGGAAATGTTGCTGTAATGAATAAAGCGATGTAAATCGTATAAAATTGATGCATAATAGACTCGATTAAAATTATCAGATTTCTGGATATTCTGTTGGTAGGTATAAATCCACACACCTGTAGAAGATGCAATGCCAGAAAGACTGCCACAAGCAAGGCTGACCAAAACTGTAGAATCATTGGGCCTAACGAAAAAAAATATAAAAAATCTAATGTTTGAAACTACCTAAACGAGAGAAGATGGGAAAATATATTTAAGTACAGACAAGCCAGAGCCCATTTTCACCTTTGAGAATTCCAAGAAGATCTCAAACTCTCATAAACTGAAAAGCTTATTGCTATACTTGGCCCAACACCCTGCAAACACAAAAAAAGGAACATCAATCTAATCATCCATTTAGCGATATGTGCACGCGCAGAACACTTATAAATTCTAGGAAATTACGAAATAGAAAAGTACCAATAATGTTGCTCCCAGTCCTTTGTATAGGCCAAGAAAACCTTCATCTCTGCAGATGGTATGAAGTGCGTGCCTTATTCCTTGATAGTATATTGCATTCCTCTACAATGTTTTCGTGATGAAAATGAAAAACAAAACCATATAAGTAACCAAAAATATCAAAAAGATGCACAGAGCGTATTGCTACTAAGTGCTAACGAGGTATAGCCAGAAATAGTGAACAAAATAAAAAGTTCAGCCAGGAGGTCATATATTGCTACTAAGTGCTAACGAGGTATAGCCAGAAATAGTGAACAAAATAAAAAGTTCAGCCAGGAGGTCATATATTGCTACTAAGTCCTAACGAGTTATAGCCAGAAACAGTGAACGAAATAAAAAGTTCAGCCAGGAGGTCATATATTGCTCTTAATCCTAACGAGTTATAGCTAGAAATAGTGAAAGAATTAATAAAAAAAGGCATATAGAAAATATTCTATCTTGTTACAAGTTTGAATATTTAGTTCCTATCGTATTTTTTTTTTAACCTGTGCAGCAAGTCTTGTCCTGACGAGATCCAAAGGATATGTGGCAGTAGCAGCAGTAATCCCAGCTAAGCCACCACCCACAAAATGCACAAAAATGTCCGCACTTGGATTTCTCTCTCGACCATCAAGGCCTGGAATTGATCTTAAAATCTGCACGAGACGTTAAAAACTATATTAAAACAAAAAAACGAAAAAAAAAACTCTCTATGTGCAGTCAAGCATTCCTCAACATTGTCAAATGAAATTCACATCTAAACATCCAATAATACTCACTCTTTTATACTGTTCATAGGAGTAAAAGTTGACTGCAGAATAAGGAAGACGATGAGCTATAGTAACCAAATTCCCTTTCCAGAAGGCTCTGAAACCCTCCTCATTGACTATACGCACTGCCTCACGCCATATACTAGGCTTACTCATACTCGCAACATCTGAATGCATGCCTTGTATCTAACAGGAGGTGAAGAAAATTAATTAGTAAGCAAAAATAATAATGGGAAAAACAGAACGAACCAAACCAACTGAGTATATCTGTAAATATATCAAAACAGAGATGGGTGGTAATTGATATTGGGTGACGGTTTCTAATGCGTGAGGACTAAAAACGAAAAATATCAATCAACTCATGAAATTGCTAAACAACTATATCACTGTAACAAGATTCAATAATATACTAAATCAAACCCTTGATTAGTTGATTTACATCTGTATCACATGTTTCTAATTTCCACCAACGCCATAACCTTGGAAATGAAAATGGGTTTTCCCTTCCTTGCAAAACTACTTTAGGGTCTTAACTTTTCAGAAAGGAGAACCTATCATTTCAAGGAACTCCGAATTTCTTCTAGGAAGATCAAAGTAAAACTAGTACAAAACAAAAAATTTAGAGAGGTCGAAAGGAAGCTATTGTGAGCAGGGACTTCATATCACTACTCTTAACACACAGTCATTTCTGGAATTTTCTATTTGTATGAACCTTCCAGATTAACATAACTCATGA